GTTTTTTTTTTTTTTTTTTTTTTTGGAGAGGGCACTAGGGGCCCCAAAACTTGGGACTTTCATACTGGGCTACAACCTCAGCGCCCCCCTCTTCCATTTTGAGATATAGCATCTCATTAATTTGCCCAGACTGGGCAAATCTTCGATCCACCTGTCTCAGCCTTCCAAAGTGCTGGGATTTACAAGCCTGTGCTACTACACCTGGCTTGCTAGGAGTAATTTTTACATGACCTCTAAGATATGTTTCTTGGAGTTATTGTAGGTTGCTAAATGACCTAGTAATTTGTTGAATATATCAGTTTATCCTCCCACCACTATTATGTGAGGGTTCTTGTTGCCCTGTATCCTCAACATTTGGTATCCGTCAGACACTTTTCTGACATGAAATACCACTTTACATTTGACCTCCAGGTTGTCACTTTTTCTCCGTTCTTCTGGCCACTGCCATCACCTCAGTTATCTTCGTTCTTCCTCATCTTCCAGACTTCTAAATATTACAGAGTCCCATGGTCCTGGCCTTAGACTTTCTCCTCCTTATTTATACTGACTTGATTTAGTCTCCTCTGTCTTGAAATTTTTTTTCTACATCAGAGATTCTAGGCCTTTCACTCAGAATGCCTGCAGCATATTCATAGGGCTGTACTGCATCTTAAGGCTAAGATGTCTCAAATCCAGTCTCCTGCCTCTGCTCTTCTCGTCCATAGCAGCCCCATCCCAGTCACTGGAAACACTCCATTGACATGCTCAGTCTCCTGTCTGTCAAGCTGCTCAGGCCTTAGTCTTTGAAGTCATTTAAACCCTTTTCATTCACCCGTATTCATACCATCAATACTATGGGCTTGTGCCACCACACCCAGCATGTTGTTGTTTGTTTTCTTGATGTTAAACATTCTTTCAGCAGTGACAAGGAATCTCAGTGCTGTTTTAGTTTACATTTCTCAAATGGCCTGTTGTGGGTTTTTTCCATGTATTTATTGACCATTTGTTCTTCATTTGAGAAGTGTCTGTTCTTTTCAGTTGCCCATTTTTCAACA